CCGGGCTGGGGATTCGAACCCACCACCCTAGGTGCACGTGGCTGGCGCCCCAGCCGGTTGAGCTATAGGCGCCGAGCCCAGAAGGGAGCATGTTAAAGGTAGATCCTGCAGTATTTGCTGATGGGTGGATGTGGGGTCAAAAATTGCTCTGATGCTTCTGGTCTTAGCAACTGAAGATTATTGACACTTATGAGAAAACGGGGGGGTGGGGGGGCAAGTTTGTGGGAGGAGGCCAGGCCCCTCTTGGCTGTGTCCATTAGCCAGATGGAGATTGGAGCTCATGGGAGGCCATTTAAAGTCATGAAATAGGTGAGGTCACCAAGGGCAAGAGTTTGAAGAGTCCTGAAGATTAGCTCTGAGTGTCTAAGCATTAAGATCTCAGCAAAAGGAATAGCGGGGTCAGAGGAGAAGCAGGAAGGGCTGGTGTCCTGGAGGACCAGATTCAATATTGTCAAGGAGGAGGGAGCTCTCAGGGATGTCAGAACTGTTGAGGATAAAGTTTGGGTGTGAGGATGGAACATTGGCCATTGAATTTGCCATATGTAAGTCATCAGTGACCTCAGCCTGACCCATCTAGGTAGAGTGGGGGATACATGTGTGAAAGTCTGGCTGGTGCCCATAAGAGAGCAGAAGGCACAAATGGGAGATAGCAGTGTAGGCAAACTGTTGAGGTGTTGCTGTAAAGGAAGACGGAGAAATGGGGTTCTTTTTCTTCAACATACTGGGTCAGGACAGTCCCAGGCTGGAGGTGGGTTTGGAGGCTTTGGTGGGTTTGCTGTGTTAAGGGCTACCAGGAAGCCATTCCTGCATGAGGCCCTCTGCCTGCCCCGCCCACTATCTCCACTGTTCCCTGTGCCCATAGTCCATGCTGCTTCTAGCCCCAAAGCTGAATGAGGCCAACCTCAATGTGGAGCTGATGAAGCACTTTGCACGGCTACAGGCTAAGGATGATCAAGGCCCCATCCGCTGCAACACTACAGTCTGCCTGGGCAAAATCGGCTCCTACCTCAGTGCCAGTGTGAGTGTTCTACATGGCTACTTGGGAGCCTATCCCTGTCACAGGACCCCAGCCTCCTCCAGGGCCAGGAATCCTGTGTGCAGGGGCTTTCTTCCTCTTGGAGACCTAGGCTGCAGGTGCTCTTAGCCCCTCTGTCCAGGCTTCCAGAGGCAGAGGCAGTTGTACCAGGTCACATAGCCACTAGGACCCCATGGCCTGTGGACATCCTCTTAGCCAGAGTTTGTAAACTCTGATGCCTCCTGTGCCTGGATGTAACAGGAATGAAAGAATCTGGTCAGCAGAGCAGGTAGAAGGGGAGGCACATTCCCCAGCCTCATGGGCAGCTGCTGCTTGAGTCTTGAGGCAGTATGGAGCCCAGTGATCTGGGAAAAGAAGCCCAGATCCAGACTTGTAGGTAAATTCTCCCCATTTAAGTTAGTATTTAATTCATATTTTTCACAGTCTGGGGCCCCATAGATGGCCTCTGTTCTGAGAAGTAAGGGCTGGTGATGCTGGGCCTTAATATTAACCTTACACTCAGGAGCCCTCTTCCTTGGCTCATCCCAGACCAGACACAGGGTCCTTACCTCTGCCTTCAGTCGGGCTACTAAGGACCCATTTGCACCCTCCCGGGTCGCGGGTGTCCTGGGCTTTGCTGCTACCCACAACCTCTACTCGATGAATGACTGTGCCCACAAGATTCTGCCTGTGCTCTGCGGCCTCACTGTGGATTCTGAAAAATCTGTACGGGACCAGGTGAGACACAGCTGGGGCTGGGCCCTGGAGCTAGAGCTCTGGGGGATACCCAGGCCCTAGCTGGCCTGGCAGGCTCTTGGGAACCCCGGAGCCCCCAGCTCTGCCCCTTGCTACCCACAGGCCTTCAAGGCCATTCGAAACTTCCTCTCTAAACTGGAGTCTGTGTCAGAGGACCCCACCCAGCTGGCAGAATTGGGTAAGTGGCCCACAGTGGTATTCCCTCTTTTCTTCAGCTATATCCTTGACTGTTGTTTGTCATCTCCCATACACACTGGAGTTACTAAGAGCTGAAAAAGACCCTAGTGAGCATACTTGACAGACACCTTCAATTTCATAGATGGGAAAAGCAGGCCTGGAGAAGGGATGGGGTCCCTATAGGTCACCTTGTTTTACTTCTTGCCTCTTATCACTCTCCCCATTTGAGCCTGAGGTGCCCATACCCAAATCTCTCTCATGCCACTGCCAGAGAAGGATGTCCATGCAGCCTCTAGCCCTGGGATGGGAGGAGCCGCATCCAGCTGGGCAGGCTGGGCCGTGACTGGGGTCTCCTCACTCACCTCCAAGCTGATCCGAGTACACCCTACGGCTGCCCTGACTGAGACCAATGTACCCCAGAGACCTACACCTGAGGGTAAGTATCCCAGATAGGCTGCATCAGTGGCTGAAAGGGCTGGGAGGTGGTGGTACCTAGGAGCTGATGCTTGCCTTCCCCTGGGGTGGCTGGGAATAGAAAGGAGGGATAGGGTCTAAGGCCCTTGTGGGCTCCCTCAGTTCCCCTTCCCCTGCCTGTACCCCCTCCCCCCAGCAACCTCTGTCATCCTGAGACCTCCCTGAAAGCTCAGTGAGCCTCTGCTCTCCAGGACTTCCTGCCCTGGCCTCCACCCCTGCCCCTGCCACCCCTACAACCTCAGGCCAGTGGGAGACACAGGAGGACAAGGACACAGCAGAGGACAGCAGCACTGCTGACAGATGGGATGATGAAGACTGGGGTAGCTTGGAGGTGTGTGAAGCTAAAGGGGCCTCTCTAGGGGACCCCCGCTCAAAGTCACAGGATGCCATTCAAGGAGCTTATGTGGGGCCGGCTTGTCTTAATCTGCACAGTATCCCTGGCAAGTAGGTCTCCTACAATGGTTACTGTAGGCCAGAGCCAGCAGCTGAGTACCACTGAACTCTAGAGCAGGCGTCCTCAAACTATAGCCCGCGGGCCACATGCGGCCCACCAAGGACATTTATCTGGCCTGCCAGGTGTTTTTGCTGCTGCTGCCTGTCCTCTAAACTATAGTCTGGCCCTCCAGCGGTCTGAGGGACAGTAAATTGGCCCCCTGTTTAAAAAGTTTGAGGACCCCTGCTCTAGAGGCTCTGGCTACAAGGCTGGAAATGTCAGTCAGGGCAGCTGGTGGATGGGCAGCCCCCTGGACTTTCTCTCCTCTGCATCCTGTCTTTCCTGTTCCAGTGCCCACCCAGCCCTGCTCCCAGGCCTAGAACCAGAAGAGTCCTGCTAATGGGGTGGTCTGAGGATGGGCTGAGGATGGAATGGGGCTGTCTTGAAGAGAATGGGGCAGAGCTCAGAGCCCAGATTCCCCATCTGACTGACAGTATTCTCTGGTTCCCAAAGCTGTGGAGAAGGGTATGGGCATCAACATCTTATTCCCCAGCCCCATGGAAGGTGAGAGCAGGCAGGGGGTTAGCATGTCCACTTCACAGATGATAAACAGGGCCTTAGGAGCAAAAGAGAAGGCAAGTAAAAGACTAATGGGTGGGCCAGACACAGTGGCTCCACACCTATAATTCTAGCACTCTGGAAGGCCAAGGCAGGAGGATCCCTTGAGCTCAGGAGTTTGAGACCAGCCTGAGTAAGAGTGAGACCTACCTCTGCTAAAAAATAGGAAAAATTAGCCAGGTGCTTCTAGTTCCAGCTACTTTGGAGCTCAGGAGTTACAGACCAGCCTGGGTACACAAACACAGGAAGACCGTGTCTCAAAAAAAACAAAAACCAAAGCTGGATGTGACAGCTCACATCTGTAATCCTAGCAGCACTCTGGGAGGCTGAAGCAGGTGGATCCTTTGAACTCAGGAGTTGGAGACCAGCTTGAGCAAGAGAGAGACCATGTGTCTACTAAAAATAGAAAAGTTAGCAGGCATTGTGATGAGTGCTATAGTTCCAGCTACTCCAGAAGCTGAGGCAGGAAGATTGCTTAAACCTAAGAGTTTGTAGTTGCTGTGAGCTAGGTTGATGCCCTGACACTCCACCCTGGGCAACAGAGTGACACTCTCTAAAAACAAAACAAACACTACAGAAAAAAACTAGAGACTAGAGCCGGTGGCTGGGAAGTGGGTGGAGCATCTTGCTTGGCTTCTAGGGTGGGGTCACTGGTCATCCCTCCTCCCACTCTGCAGCAGGAGGCGGAGTCTACCTTGGCCCAGCAAGAAGACTGGAGTCCGGAAGGCCAAGCCAGCAGAGCTGGGCAGGTGAACTGGGTCAGGCAGGGGTGATGTGTGCCCAGGAGGGGAATCCAATCCCCTTCCTAGCCCAGTGCTACCTCCCATGACCCGCAGGTTATCGGCCTGGACCGTAAATCCCCCGAGTCTGAATGGAGCAGCTGGGAAGCAGAAGGCTCCTGGGAACAGAACTGGCGGAAGCCGAACTCCCCCGAGCCGCCCCCTGAGGGCACGCGGCTGGCCAGCGAGTATAACTGGGGCGGATCTGAGCCTAATGACAAGGGCGACCCTTTTGCCACCCTATCTGCGCGTCCCAGCACTCAGGTACCCAGGGCAGGTATGGCGGGAGGGTGGAGGCTGGGCACACCTCAGCCAGAAGCATCCCCATGGCAGCCCGCCCTTCCCTTTTTAGCCGAGGCCGGACTCGTGGGGCGAGGACAGCTGGGAGGGCCTGGAGACTGAGAGCCGTAAGTGCTTCCCCAAGCGGGCTGACAGATGGGGCTCTGGAGCTGGGGACTTGAAACTGACCGACCTCCCTTTCCTGCCCACAGGACAGGCGAAGGCTGAGCTGGCCCGGAAAAAACGTGAAGAGCGGCGGCGGGAAATGGAGGCCAAACGTGCAGAAAGGAAAACAGCCAAAGGCCCCATGAAGCTGGGAGCCCGGAAGCTGGACTGACCGGCCATGTGGGTGCCTCCTGGCCGTGGAGAGCCCACGGATGTATTTATTGTACAAACCATGTGAGCCTGGCCCCCTGGCCAGGCATGTCTCACGTGTACATAATCAGAGCCACAATAAATTCTATTTCGTACTCCCTGTCCCAGCTCAGTCGCCTCTCCGAGGCAGCTGGAGTCTGGCGCCGCCCTGCGCTGTCTGTGCTCACAGTGGACGGGAACATCAGTTTGCTTCTAAAGCCAGAGTAAAGAGGCACAATCTGATTTTTATCAGTTTCTAGGAAACACCTTCGGGGAGGAAGGCAGACAGCGCCCCAGACCCAACTTCTGCCTGTGATCCAGGCAGTGCTGATATGGCCGCTCTCGGGTCTCAGAGCACGGGAAAGGGCCTGCGGGTCCTGAGGGTCCCTGGGTCCGAGCCCCAAGTCGAGGCAGGATTGAGAGGCTGAGCTCACGAAAATCCCTCAGTGATCACCAACGTCCAGGCCGGGTGGCGTCAGCGGCGGCGCTGGGGCACACAGGTCCCGTGCGGGCGGCTGCGAGCGAAGCCGGCTTTGCAGACGCAGCGGAAGGAGCCGCTCGTGTTCACGCAGCGTTCACTCTTGCACAGCAGCCCGCGCTGGTTCAGCTCACGACACTCGTCGATGTCTGTAAGTTCGGGTGACAGGTGCCATTTGCTTAGTTAGCTTCTGGCTGGCCCGGAGCTGCTCCGTCTCGTGCCCTGCCCTGAAGCCCAGCTCACCTACGCAGCGAGCACGAGAGGTGTCCAGCTGGAAGCCGCCGGGACACTCGCACACGGCGCCACCTGGCCGTGGCACGCAGCGGCCGCTAACGCAGCGGCACTCATCTGAGTCTTCCTCTGAACTGTCCTCCTCTGAGCGGGCAGGAGAATACGAGCGTTAATACCGTCCCCAGCCTACGGCCACCGCCCCACCCCTGCGCTCCTGCTGCATTCACCTCTTGGGGGCTTCCCCAGCAGCAGGGGGCTGGTGTCCCAGAAGGAATTGCTCTCACTCTGCGATGTTGGGCACTGGGTCCCTGAGAGGGGCAGTCATTGATGTCAGTGCACCTCGGCTGCACTCGTGCTCCCTCCCCACCACCACTCCCGGATCAGCTCACCGGTGCCGCGCGGCTGGCACGGGCGACACTGGGCACCCCAGCCTCGGCCCTGGCGGCAGCAGCAGTCATCAAAAGTGAGAGCAGGCCCAGCATAGGGGCCTGCGCACATGCCATCCTCTCCACGCTGGCCCCAGCACACGTCGCGCCGCTCCGGGGCGCGCTCTGAGGATGGGACCTACGTCAGGGAGGAGACCGAGACAGGGACCGCCCGCCTCCACTCCACCCAATGTGTGGCTTTGATGCTCCATATGACAGACAAGGCCTCCCCCACCTCCCACCCCACCCCCGTAAGCCCCAGACTGACCCTCGCCCTCACCAGCCGGGCTCTCCGGGAGTTGGCAGTCGCGGCCTGAGGGTCCGGGCACCCAGGGCGGGCGGCACTCGCAGCGGTAAGAGCCGGGTAGGTTGACGCAACGTCCAGGACGGCAGGCTGCCGGGTCCTGGCACTCATCTACGTCTATAACAGTGAGGGCACGGGTGGGGGTGCTGTCTCTGCATGGCTTGGGCCCCCATCCCTCTGCCACCCCGGCTCACCAGCCCGGGCCTTACCCATCTCCTCCGGGTTCAGACACTGGCGCTGTGCTGGGCTGTACTCGGCTGGGGGCGTGCAAGCGCAGCGGTAGCCGCCGCGGGTATTCTCGCACACTCCATTCCGGCAGTTGGACTCATCCAGACACTCGTCCACGTCTGTGGGGAGGAAAATCATTGATAACAGAAGGTCCAGGGGGCTGTGCTTATCTCCTCACTGCTTCCCCAGGGCCACTGGGCTGGCTGTGCTCACCCACGCACTCCAGCAGGTTCCCGTCATAGTAGAAGCCCTGCTTGCAGTAGCACTCATAGCCGGGCTGCGTGTTCACGCACTTGCCCTCCTTGCAGATCTCGGACCCAAACAACATGCACTCATCGATGTCTGTGGGGTGACAAACTGTGGCGCTTCTGCCCTGGATTGTGGGCAGGGCTGACCGCAAGAACAAAGCTCACACGGGAGAGGGGGGCGGTCTGCAGGTTGGGAAGGTAGGTGCAAGTGGGGCCTACCCAGTGCAGGATTGGGGGACCAGCTAGCCTCCTGGGACTTACCGCGGTGGGCTGGGATGCCGTAGTTGACGATGTTGTTGTCCTGGGTGTAGCCCTTTCCGTCAGGGCACAGGCTGTGGAACTCAGCTGCAGGGGGTGGGGTGGCGGGGGAGAATGGGACTGAGCAGGTCCAGCCCATATGCCGTGGGTTCTCCGCCTCATTTCCCAACTTCAAGGGGCAGGGGATAGAGAGCCATTTCTCCCATTTGGTTTCCAGATAAAGAAACTAAGGTTCTGGGAAGGGGCCTGTGGCTTCCTGACCTGAGCTGTAGACTGGGCAGGGATAGATTTCACAGTGGTCTCCCCAGCCAGCACCCAGGGAGCAGCAGCACTCCTGTTGGGTGACGTTGATGGCCAATACACTGTCGCAGAACACCGTGTCATCGAAGTTAAGATAGCACTCCTTCTTGTGGTGGGGCTGCTCCACCTCTGAGTGGGGGGAGGGTAGCTCAGGGTCTTGCAGACACACTGCCTTTGCCTGGTCTATCCATCCTACCCACCACAAGTCTCTGTCTCCCACCTTCCCTGGCTTCTGTTAGTCACCATGTGACAGCCAGTGTCAACATGAGATTTAGGGCTCTTCAAGGTCTGGCCTTACCAGACTCCTCAGGCAGAAGCAATTTCTTCCTGTTCCCCAAATTTAGGAGAGTGAGACCAGAACATATCTCTGAACCCCAGCTGCAGTTCAGGGGAGTTTCTAGCCTGGAAGAGAGCTGGGAGGACACTCACCCTCACAACCATGCTGGTCCTGGGTGGGAGTGAAGCCTTCATCGCAGACACACATGTAGGAGCCCTGCAGATTCTCACAGGCCCCGTGGGGAAGGCACAGGCTGGGGTCCTGACTGCACTCATCTATGTCTGGGGGGCAGAAGTGGCTCAGAGGAAACCCAACCCCTTCTTCATTAGGGCTATGCCCTGAGGGCCTAACACAAGTTCAGAACCTGAATTTTCACTTTGTTCAAAGTATATCCACTCATGTCAGTCTGAGCATGTGGGTGGGTGGGAGTGTGAATCACTGCTGTCATTCAAAAACCCTTTAGGAAAATACCCCCCCCCGCCCCCAACCCCCCCTGCTGACAACAGAATAAAATACTAACTCTCGGCTTGGCATTTAAGGACTTTCAGTTTGGGGTCCCAATACCTAGAAAAGTCTTATCATCCTTTACTTTAACCTCCACCTCTCAGGGCATACGTGTTTACCCTCCTCTAAAAACACAATTAGGTCCTTCCAGATCTCTTGAGTTTTGCAAATACTGTTCTTTGGGCCTAGAATACCATTCTGTGCCTTTCTTTGCCTAGAGAACTCTTACTTAAGTCCTAGACAGTGACCCCCACACACACTGCAATTAATCACTAGTCCAGAACTCTCCTGGAACCCAGCACCCTGACCTGTGAGAATCAGTTTTGATGTTGGCTTCCCCCAGCTGGGAGCCTTGGGTCATTGCTGAATAACTAGTACATAGCCTGGAACTTGGCAAAGAGAAGGTGCTCAGCAAACTCTTGTTGGATGAATGCACATATGGATGAATTGGTAGGAAGACTGACACATTAATATCTGTAAAGAGCCTAACAGAGTGACTAGCACATAGTAAGCACCATAGCAGTGCTTACTGAGATTCAGTAATAACTGCCATTATTACTATGCTCATTGTTATTTGGGCAAGAGTGGAAGGCTGAGTGACTGGATGTATGAAAAAACAGAATGGTCACAGTGTGTCTAGGGGAGTACTTTTCCCTGCCACAACCCTCAAGAGCCCTCAGCCAATCCCCATACCTTGGCACTTCCTGCCACCCACCAGCCGATGCCCCTGGGGGCAAAGACATCTGTAGGAGCCATTGGTATTGATGCAGTCACCCCCAATGCAGGCTGCAGGGAAGTCACACTCATCAATGTCTGTAGGGGATTAAGGGAGTAAAGAATCTCAGTGACTAAACCTCTATGCACAGCCTAAGACTGCCAAGGCTTTCCCCCAGATCTCTGGCTCAGTGTCATGCCCCTACATCCCATCTGGGATCTGGATGGGGACTGGACTTGGGCAGTAGGGATCCTGAAGTATAGAGGGACAGGTCAGCACCCTGGTTCTAGGACTTCTTACCCTCGCAGTGGCTGCGGTCCCTTGACAGATGGTAGCCAGAGAGGCATTGGCACTGGAAGGATCCTGGAGTGTTGGTGCAGATGCCATTGTCACACACGTCCCCAGCCTTACACTCATCCACATCTGCAGGACACAGGAGGTGTCAGAGGGCCAAAGTGGGGGCCTCTGCTACTCTCTCTTGTGCGCTATGGTGCTTACTATGTGCTAGTCACTCTGTTAGACTCTTTATAGATATTAAAGAGCTCTGGAGTGCCAGAGCTGAGGCCCGTGGCACTTATAAGTGTGGGGCATTAACCCTGTTCCTAGGTGTCATACACTTCCCTGGCAAGCAGGCCAGGTGTTGCCGGGCACCTGGACCATGTCTGATGCTAAACAGCCTCCCCACCCTCACTGAACAAGATGCCCCCTTCTCCACCCTCTTTCCCATCCTGCTCTAGGCATCTTAGCCACAGCTGCTTTCACTGCTGCTTTCTTTTTTCTTTTTATCTTTTTTGAGACAGAGTCTCACTTTGTCGCCCTGGTAGAGTGCTATGGCCTCATAGCTCACAGCAATCTCAAACTCTTGGGCTCAAGTGATTTTCTTGCCTTAGCCTCCCAAGTAGCTGGGACTATAGTGCCCACCACAACGCTCGTCCTTTTTTTTTTTTTCTAGGGACAGGGTCTCACTCTGGGCTGGTCTCAAACCTGTGAGCTCAGGCAATCTACCCCACCTTGGCCTCTCAGAGTGCTAGGATTACAGGTGTGAGCCACTATGCCTGACCTTCACTGCTGCTTTCACCCTTCTCTCACTTGCCATGGCTCCCTTCTTCCCTGTAGATATAAGTGCCCCTAAATCCTCCTCCTTTACTCAGAATAGTTTATTTTGCCCATGCAGTAAAGACACATGACTCTCCCCTGAGGACATGATTACTTGCAGTCCTTTCTGATGGGCTGGTTGTTGCCAACACCTCAGTCCCCTCCAAGCCTAGGCTCTTCCTCTGAGGTGTGGATCAGGCCTGCACCTGTCTCCACCCCTCTTTTGCTGTTGGAACCACCTTTCTACCTCCTCTCCTTCAGTTTCCCTCTCCATTCTAGGAGTTCTTAACAGCTTTTGGATGACCAAGGTCTCCGACCTCACATATGTCACTTCTGTGACCTTCATCTTAAGGCTAGCTAGTCTCTCTCAGGGCCCCTCAGAGCTTTTATCTCACATATTTGCCCCACCCTGCAGCCCTTAGAGGGGGCTTTCTTCCCACTGCCATTGTTGTCCTCAAGTCTTCTACTCCTGCCTCCTTAGTTCCTTGACCTTGACCCATACCCTCACTCTGAAAGTTCCTAGCCCTGATCAGGGTCAGGGCTTGTCGCCTGTGAACTGCCATCCCTGAGCCCACTAATGCTTCTTTCTCCTCACTGGTCTGGCAAAGCCCAGCCTCCAAGCTGAGCACACTGGGCCACAGCCACATGCTCCAGCCTCTGAGTTTGGGCCAAACCCTTAGCATGTTCAGTGCCTCCCTCTCTAGCTCCTTTGGAGCCCAGACTTCCGTAAAGCCCCTGGGCATCCCCCATGCCCTTGGGTACTTCCAAACCACCACCTTTTTTTTTTTTTTTAGCAGTTTTTGGCGGGGGCGGTTTTGAACCCACCTCTGGTATATGGGGCCAGTGCCCTCCTCCTTGAGCCACAGGCGTTGCCCCCAAGCCACCACTTTTATCCTCAGGTCTTCTAGTTAACTCAGGCCTTTCACTATTTACTGAGACAATTAAGGGTAATCACCCTCAAACACCTGAAAATTATTAACTACATCCACTCCTTTATTGCTCCTTTTCTCTTGTCCGTGGCCAGCCACCTGCTGACCCCTCTTCCCTCCTCTCCTAGCCCTGTGGCCCCAGTCACCCCCTCACCCACTTTCCTGGCATCTCCTCCTCAACTTCTACCTCAAAGTCCCACTCCTGTGACTCCAGGTCTTACTTTTCCTCACTTGCTGCCAATATCCTGCCCTCCATCCACATCACACCACAGAGGCCATTTGCCAAGGCCACCAGGGACCTTCTTGTCTCACCTGTTCATATTTTACAAGAACCTCTCTATTGCACTTAACTCATTCTCCTTTCCTGGACATCCCTCCTCCCCAGCTTCTCACATGGTGGCCTGCAGTCCTCCATCATCCCCTCTTCTTATCTCCTCTTTTGCCACCTGCTCCTGGTGTGTCAGTGTTCCCAAGGCTCTGCCAGATGCCCCTCTTACCCTACCCACCCTCCTTGGCAGAGTAGGTGCACCCCAAGACTCCACTGCTCTGATAGCCTATAGTCTGGCTCCAGGCAGGTATGTCTAACCCAAGACTCCCAACCCACATGGCCCACCCTCTGCTGCTATCTCCAACTGAAAGACCCACTGGGACCAGCAATTCAACTTGTCCACCAAGGAGCTCAGCATCTCCCCTTCGTAACTTGCTGATCCCTGGGGCCCCTATCCCAGTGGGCACCACCACCTGAGTCACCTGGAGGCTCCATCACCTCCCTCTCTCCTTCAGCTTGACATCCAGTCAACAAGTTCTAGTAATTTGTTCTAATATTACATCACGGTATGGCCATCCTGAAGCCACAACCCTTATTCCATCCACCACCGCCTCTGTCTCAACTCTCTCCAACAGACCTCCAGCCACTTTCCACACCCAGCAGCAGGCAACTTTCTAAAACAAATGGCAAATCTTGTCATTCTTCCCCTCAAAATGCTTCCAGTGTTCCCTTACACTTCAAGATAAGGCTCAACCTCCTGGACAGGGCTCAGGGGGCCCTCCACAGCGTAGAGACCTGCTCCTCCCCAGCCAGGCCCCAGCGCTCGGTCATTCCTTACAGTTTCCTGCACATCTCATGCTGTTTTTCACCACAGTAGCCATTATTGGCATGCTGTTCCATCTCATCCTTCTTACTTGGTTAATTATTATTGATTCTTTAAGATAACTCAGGCCTTCTCCCTCCCGTTTGGCTGGTGTTTCCAAGGAGTACCCAAGCTCCATTCAGGCCCAGTCCTACACCCCACAGTCTGTCTTACATTCTCCAGTTTCTCTGAATCCTCTTGGTGCATAATAAACACGAGTGTAGGGATAAGGTACTAATGCCTCCCTTCACTATTTGAGTTTTTTTTTCTTTTGAGACAGAGTCTCATTTTATCACCCTCAGTAGAGTGCTGTCGCGTCACAGCTCACAGCAACCTCCAACTCCTGGGCTTAGGCTATTCTCTTGCCTCAGCCTCCGGAGTAGCTGGGACTACAGGAGCCTGCTATTTTTTTGTTGCAATTTGGCCGGGGTCGGGTTTGAACCCACCACCCTCAGCATATGGGGCCAGCGCCCTACCTACTGAGCCACAGGCACTGCCCTTTTTTTTTTTGGATTAAATTTAAATAACAAGCTTTGCAAACACAGCTTCAAGCCCTGCCCCCTAAGACTCTTCCTACATGGCTCGGGGCCTGTGGCTCAAGTGGCTAAGGTGCCAGCCACATACACCTAAGGTGGAGGGTTCGAATCCAGCCCAGGCCTGCCAAACAACAATGACGGCTGCAACCAAAAAATGGCCAGGCGTTGTGGCGGGCGCCTGTGGTCCCAGCTACTTGGGAGGCAGAGGCAGGAGACTCTCTTGAGCCCAGGAGTTGGAGGTTGCTATGAGCTGTGATGCCATAGTACTCTACCCAGGGGGACAGCTTGAGACTCTGTCTCAAAAAAAAAAAAAAAAGACTCCTCCTACATAAAACTTTTGGCAGGGCCTTTCTTGTCGAGATTCTCTGAGGAAATGAGCAACTGGATCAAAGAACCAGGAGATGAATTAGCCACCTCCCGCCACTCGCCTTACAAACAGAGACCCACTCCCCGCTTCAGCGCGCAAGCGGGCAGCAAGCTGCCTGGGTTGGGACGCTGGATCTCACCCATGCAGCTGCGGCCGTCAGGCGCGGGCGCGTAGCCCTGGGCACACGTGCAGCGGAAGGAGCCTGGAAGGTTCTCGCACCAGCCAGGAGAGCAGGGGCTGCCTTCAGCGCACTCGTTCACGTCTGCGGCAGAAAGAGCGCATCTCAGACGCTGCCCCACAGGGTCTGACAGGCAGGTGTACAGCGGCGAAGTGTGGCTCTCCTCAGCCCGAGTTTGGGGAGAACGCCCCCTGTATTATCGAAAGGCCCCGCCCCCGGGCCGGGGCTAGTGCTGGTGAACGCTACCGGCATTACCCGGAAGGTGCCGCTTTGTTTTCTCGGCCCCGCCTTCTACCCTAGATGGGACCCAGACCCCGCCCTCACCGCGGCAGGCCCCGCCCCCCTGGCTGCGGTAGCCGGGCTGACAGGCGATGCACTTGTAGCTCCCGGGTTTGTTTTCGCATTTGCCATCAGGACAGGTGCTCGGGTCCCGGCATTCGTCGATGTCTGCACAGGAGGAAAAAGGACGAGGAGGACTCAGCTGGGGACAAAGTGGCTGACCCAGCGCTCTGGTTCCTCGGCAAGGCCTCCCTCTGTCACAGATCAACAAGGCGAACCCCGCGCACTGGCTCCCAGGCCCTAACCTCTGAGAGAAAGTAAAGCAAAGACAGGAGTGCAGGACCCCCGCCGCCACCTGAGACGGCGGAGGCCCCCACGTTGGTCTGGATGGGGGCCCCTCACCTTCGCACACAGGCAGTCGAGAGGCTTTGAGCCGGTAGCCGGGGTAGCAGTTGCACTTGTAGTGACCCGGAAAGTTGATGCAAAAGCCGCCCTCGCCACACAGGTGAGGCTTGGCACACTCATTCAGGTCTGAGCGGAAGGAAGGAGGCACGAGGGTGTGGGGTAGTGGAGGAGATTACACAGCGGTCCGGAGGAGAGCCTGCCCCACCCACTGCCGCCCCGCCCTGGTGGCGCTCACCCACGCACGAGCGCCCCCCGGCGCCCACGTGCAGGCGGTAGCCGCGGTTGCAGTGGCAGTTGTAGGAGCCCCCAGTGTTCATGCAGATGCCCCTCCCAGGGCCGCACGGCTCAGCCTCACACTCGTTCACGTCTGAGAAGGACGCAGCGGGCCAAGAAAAATCAAAGTGGTGTCACGAGGAAGGGTTGTTCCCCGGTTACTCGCCCGCATGCCTGCCCCATGCTCACCCACACAATAGCGGTGCTGCGGGTGCGACCGGTAGCCGGGGTTGCAATGGCAGGAGTAGTCTGGCGGGCCAGGGACACACTCTCCGTGGCCACAGATATTCTGGTTCAGTCGGCACTCGTCTGTCTCTGAGGGCAGGGAGTGGTGAGGGAGCATTCACCTCTGCCACGTCCCCAAGACAAACCAGGATACCCCAATCCTACTGACTCAGATACCTGAGCCCAGTCATACCATGACCCTCAGGTTCTTGCTCAGATGCACTCCAATCTGAAGATTTCCTATACCTCCATCCCAGACAACCCTAACTTCAAGACCCCAGATAGCTCCAGGTCCCTGACATCCTATCATCTCATCTGATCCCCACTCCACATCCTTGACCCCAGTCACCTTGAACCAAACCAAATCTCCTCAGGGCCCCTCAGTCCCAATACCCCTACCCAAGGGGCTCAGAAACCTCCTTCTCCTCAGTTCTCTTAGACCCTATAGCCTCAGTCACACCAGTATCCTCTGGAGCCCCCCCCTGCCATTCCAGAATAGTAGATTACCTCCTCCTCCCAAGTCAAGCAGGAGCTGGTTTCCTGGGAATCCTAACTTGTGCCACATCAGTGCAAGGCAGTCAGATGCAGGAAGCCCCTCAGCCTCTTTGTTACCAAGCTCAGGACTCTCTGCCTCCTACTTCTCCCTTCTTTGATCCTCACTGCTCACCAGTCTTCTCTCCAGCACCCCATCCCCTCACTGCTCTCATCTCCCACCCCACCCCATCCTGCAGCCTCAGCCACAATACCTGAACTCTACTTTGGCCAGTGGGCTTTTCAGGCCATTTTTGCCTGGGGTACCTCTCTTTAGGGTTCCACAAAGCCCCCAGACCAGCCACCTCTACCTAGACCCTCACCCCAGGACTTCACGTAGGCTCAGACTGCCAACTCCCCTTGTGGCTTTGCATACATACATAAGGGCTTGAATCTGGCTCAGCTGTGTGACCTGGGGCAAATTATTGGACTTCTCCAAGGCTCCACTTTCTCATCTGGAAAATGAGCCTAACAATGCCGCATACACTTCACAGAGTATGAGAAGGTTAAATGGTATTTAGTACATAGAACTCTTTACACAGTGCCTGGTACAGAGTGGTTACTCAATCTGAGTTGGAAATTTTGATGCTCAAAACCTATAGACATTTCCTATAGCCTTTGGCATCAGACCCAAACCCTCAGCAAGGCTCCATGTACTGGATTTTCCCTGGTGCAGGTGTGGTTTCTGACTCCAGCAGTGTATCATGTTCCCATGCTTTTGCCCAAACTTAACTTACCTTAGGATGTTCTTTCCCTCAACCTGTATGCCCATTCTTTCACCACTTTGGCTCTTGAATTTCTATCAGTCTTTAAAACTCTACTCAGAAAGCCTTCTCTCATTGCTGCCCCACATATTATCACAACCCCCACACCTCCTGCTCGGATTTATTTCTTTATAACATTTGTGAAATATGCTAAATTTTTTTTCTTTTTGTTTTTCTCACAGGGGTGAGATGATATCTCAATGTGGATTTGAGTGTGGATTTGATTTGCATTTCCCTGATGATTAGTGAGGTTGAGAGTTTTTATTTACTTATTTATTTTTTTAGACAGAGTCTCAAGCTGTCAACCTGGGTAGAGTGCCATGTGAGTGTCACAGCTCACAGCAACCTCAAACTCTTGGGCTTAAGTGACTCTCTTGCCTTAAAGTAACTGGGACTACAGGTGCCCGCCACAATGCCTGGCTATTTTTTGGTTGTAGTTATCATTGTTTTTTGGCAGGCCCAGCTGGATTCAAACCCGCCAGCTCTAATGTATGTAGCTGGCGCCCTAGCTGCTAAACTACAGGCGCCAAGCTGAAACATACTAAATTTTTATATGTTGGTCTTTTTATTGCCTGTCTGCTCTTCAAGGACAGGAAATTTTTGTCATTTTTGTCACTGTAGCATTTCTAATACCTGGAGAGTCTCCAATGCCTGGCACATAGTTGATGTTCAATAAATATTTGTTGAATAAATAATGAATGCTCTCAGACTGGGTTGATCACCATGCTACCTGGTTTTTTTGAGGGCAGGGTGGGATCTTTGCTGTTTCCTTGATGTTGGCTCTAGGGAATGACTGTAGGGAGGAGAGGAAGAGAAAAACTAAGCTGGGGGCATGGCCTAGCTGCCTGGCCTTACCTGTGACCTGAGTGGGAGCAATCTCCACAGCGCTGCGGGAAGGGGGCAAGTCCGGCAGGAACCAACGCATTGTGGGTGGCGAGGGGCGGGAGATCAGTTCTGCCAGCAGCAGTGCACACTTGTAAGAAGGTGAGGGACACAGAGCCTCCCTTCTTTCAGGCCTTCATCTGGCCATATCACACCCCAGCTTCACTGCCCTCCAGGATTTAGGCTGTGAACTCTCCCCACCCAGTAACTTAGTCCCTGAGGATTCATCCCTGCAGTACCCAGCTCACCAGGGTAGGGCCGAGCAGGATATGTGGTGGCAGTTGGGTGGCTCTGCTGCACTGACCGCTCCTCACTCACTGGCTGTGGGTGATAGCAGCATGAGACCTCTGTGTCTCCCTCACCTGTCCCACCCCTCCCACCTAGGCTCTCATACTCACTGAGTCCGTGGTCACCCCTAGAAGAAAAGAAAAGATAGGGCCATTAAGTGTTGGGGTGGGAGAAAGGAGTCAGGCTTGTGCTCAGCAACTGGGTAGTTGTGGTTATGATATCTAAGAATTCAGAAATCATGTCTCTGGGTCAAAGGTCAGGGGTTAGAGCCTTGCATAGTGGTCAGGTGCTCAGGTCTGGGGGAGCGATGGTTGGGGATGCTTGGGTTATAGTTCAAGGAAGGCTTAGGAGGTTATAACTCAGGGTCACATCTTTGGGTAATGGGTCAGAGGGTCAAGTCTGGAAGTCAGTGTTGTATCTAGGAACAGAAGGGGTCAGGCCAGACCTCTCTCCTCTTCTGCATCCTCAGATGGTGGCGCCTGGCTGGGGCTCTCAGGATGCTGCTGGGGTTTGGGTGGACCGTCAGGGTGCAGGAAAAGGGAAAAGTCGCTTTCACCCTGAATGGTGAGTGTCTGGTGGGAGGTAAGGATGTGGTACCCTTTCCCAGCTGGGCAGATCTCCTTGAAGGCAGCTAGGGTCAAGACAGCAGATACAAAAGTGAGTGTTTGCTGGACAAGTTCATGGACATACACCCACCCCCTCCCCTGCCCCACACGTCCCTGGCTCACCGGTGCCATCTGCGGGGCAGCGCTGACAGCGAGCACCCCAGGCCTTGCCCACACTGCAGCAGCAGAGCTGGCGGGTGAGGCGCGTGGTCAGTGGGTGCTGGCATTGGTGCTCAGGACTCACTAGGCGGAAACACAGGCTCTTCTCCTCTGGCTTGTCCGCTGCAAGGGGCATTTAGGCCTGAGCGCTGCCACATCCCTCTGTCTAGCTACCCTAGACTATGCCTCTCTGGCCCAGAGTAGCCCCTATGTAGATCCCTGTGTAGTCCCAAATGATCCTGAACTCATGCGACACCTAAAACTTATGTGACCACAAACTCCATTGACTCCAGATTCTATCTGCTCTAGACTTCACCCCTCCTGTCCCTTAAGCCTATGATATAGGACCCAGACTCCATATAGTCCTGACCCCATGTGACTCCCAACCTCACTGATCCCTGATCCTATCTGCTCTGGGTCTTATTCCTCCTGCAGTCAACCCTTGACCTCACTCTGATCTCTTGTGACCTCTAATGCTTGCTACTTAGAGCCTTTCCCTTCCTAGCCATGCCTTATGACCTCCCAGAACCCCTTAGTCTCACCAATGCACTGTGTGCGAGAGGGGCCCAAGCTATGGCCAGGTGGACAGACACAGCGATAGGAACCAGGGTTGTTGAGGCAGTCACCATGGCGACACATGCCTGGCATCACACACTCGTTGATGTCTGTAGTAAGTGGAAATTTGGTCCGTCTGGGGTCCATTGTGACAGCAAGCTGCTCAAAGAACTTCAGAATACTGCTCCAGCCCCCCTCCTCCCATGCCCACCTTAGGAACCCCCACCAGCCTGATCCTGCAGCCCATAGAATCTCCTGGATGGCCATACCCTGGCAGTGGGTGCTGTTGAGCCTCTTGTATCCCTGGGGGCAGTCAGTGCCCACCTCCCCACGTACAGGCCCTGGCTTCTGTACCCCTGTGTCTGCAGAGAGAGGACAGTATGATAGGGGATGACAAATAAGACACTGGGGAGGGGCAGAGTGGGATGAAGAGAAGAATTTGGTGGTTGAAGTCTGGAGAGGGTCTGCCTGATAGGGGATGCTCGCTGAGCCCAGGTACTCACACTGCAGCTGAGGGCACTTGTGACACTTGCTCTGACCCCAGGCAGTGCCGATGCTCCCACAGCAGTCTTCCTGCTTCGTGAGGCCTGGGAGAGGGTTGCTGCCACACTAGGGGGAGAAGTATGGGGAGGGGTCACAAGCACCCCACTCATTCACCCCTGGCCCTTTCCTCTGCCCTGGTCCCCTGATTTTACACAGAGTTAGGGCAGGACAATCCTGAGAGAAAGGCTGACCCTCTGGACTATGGATGCACTCACGGGTTGCTTAGGCAGCGTGTCCTGGAAGCAGCGACCCAGAGGCTTCTGGGTGGGTGGCCGAGGGTGTGGGGGTTTGGGGTGTGGCAGCAGGTGCTGCGAGGGGGCTGGGCCCTCAGCATTCGGACTCTCGATGCGGTGGACCTGGACAGAGGCCTCAGGCGGGTGGTGGACACGCACATTCACCACCGGGGGTGGGGCCTGCACTGGGGGTGGGGCACAGTGGCTTCAGGGCTGGCACCCAGGGTCACCTGTAGGGGTGGAGCTCCTCCAGGGCTGGCCCCCCCCACCTGGGCCCACAACCCTAGTGCCCACCCACCTCAGCCTCCCCTGGTATTTCCCTTGCCTGGTACCTTCTGCTGAGATCTGTCCTGGCCCCAGGGGCACCAGAAAGGCTGCATGCTGGGCAGGGGGACCCTCCCCAGGCCCAGGAGGGTCAGCGATCACCTGGACAGCGTAGATGGCATGCTTGCTAGCCACAGAGTCACCCTCTGGAGTCAGGGGTGGCAGTGCACCTGTGGACAGGGCTCCAGCCCGGACGAGCCCAGGTCCTGAGCTACCAGTGCCCCCACCAGCTCCTCCGGCTGGCACCTGGCAGAAGCGCCCCGTGAAGTCTGGAGGACACAGGCACTGGTTTCTTGAGGAGCACTGGCCACCGTTCATGCAGGGCAGAGGGCACACCACTGGGGAGAGGAGGTGGATCAGAGCCAGGCTACCCTGCCTCTAGCCCCCAGGCCGAATCACTCACCCACAACCTGTCTCTTCCCCCTCTTACCTACTGCCTTGCCACCACTAGCTCTGTCCTCCTTGGGAAGCTGGATTTTATAGCACATCACACATTTGGAAACTGCTCTCTCTAGATCCCTCAACATCCTTATGTCTATATTGGGTTCTAGAATCTTTAGTCTCAGACTTAGTTTCACCTAGGCCATGTGCCAGCTGCGTGACCCTGAGCACCTTACTTACCTTCCCCATCTGTAGAGCTGTTGTGTCTATTAAATGTGATGCCAGTACAAATGCTTAATATGGGGACCAGTACACAGAGGATGCTTAATAAGTAATAGCAAATAATGATAATGACAATCTGTCTTTCCCAGAGGCCTCTCCTGGGTATCCCTCTCTCCCTGGGGCCTCTTCCTCTTCTCCTCTAAACTCTCCCCCTCATTCAGGCCTGGGACCTCCCCTCTATGCCTTGCTGTCCCAGGGCCTACACCTTACCATGGCCAATGATGTCCACATCTCTAGAGATAGCCATGGACATACCCTCTCCAGGACCTCTCTTGGTACTTCTACCCAGAGGCCACTGTCAGCTGGCAGCATCCTGCCTTTCCACCTCCTCCTAACCTGGGATCTCCACCAGGGAATTCCTCCCCCCCCAGTTATACAGCACTGCACACTCCACAACCCCACCTCCCACCCCACCATGGCCTCTGCACCCCCTATTCCCCGGGCTCTGGCCACCTTCCAGCCTCTCTCCTGGCTGTTGACAATCTCAGCATTCCTGGGAAACCCTGCTTTAGGCAGAGGACTGGCATGTCACAACCCTGCTCACTATTTGCTTCCTGGCCTGGACACTCAAAACTCTCTGTGGCCCAGAACCTTCTTTTATTTATTTTTTAATTTGAGACAGAGTCTCACTATGTCACCCTAGGTAGAGTGCTGTGGTGTCATAGCTCACAGCAACCTCAAACTCTTGGGCTTAAGCGATCCTCTTGCCTCAGCTTCCCAAGTAGCTGAAACTACAGGCGCCCGCCACAATGCCCAGCTATTTTTCTGTTGCACTTGTCATTGTTACTTAGCTGGCCAGGGCTGGGTTTGAACCTGCCGGCCTTGGTCAATGTTGTTGGCGCCGTAATCACTGTGCTACAGGCACTGAGCCCCAGAACCTTCTTTTAGCCCACCTCCTTCTGCTCTTTCCGTGTGCACCCCTCCTGCAAGTATGCCAATCTCTGCCTCATGGCTTTGTTCATGCCATCCCCTCCATTGCAGAGCGCTGTCCCCATTTCTACATATTCTAATCTTGCCCTTCCTGTCTCAGCTTCTCCTCCTTTCTTCATATCCCACCTACTCCCATCAGCTCTGTCTGGCACCTGGCCTGGTTTTATTCCTGTCTGGTTATATTCACTATAAAGAGTACTTTGGAGGGCAGGGCCAGGCCAGCCTCAGCTCTGTGTCCCAGAGGAAGTGCGGGGGGAACAAATGAAGGATTGATTGAGGGAAAGGATGGGACCTCTGTCTTTCCTGCCACATACTCATCTTCAACACCTGCTACTCTTGGGAACCTGAGCCCATGCACCAGCCCAGCTTCCCTTCTGCTGCCTGGGGCAGAGGCAAGGGTTGTGTTGAACTCCTGGACACCCAAAGGGGGTCTCTCAGGGACAGCCCACATCCATGACCATCAGGGTGGGACTAAGAGCAGCCTAGCCCAGCCCATCCTGCCTGATCTCTTGGGGCCAGGCCTCACAAGGCAGATGGGGTGTGTCCTTTGCCAGTGGAGGCAAGATTCTCTTCTTCCTGTCTCCCAGTGAGTCACTCAAAGCGGTGAGGGTGACCTCCCTGTGACACCCGCCCACTGTGGCCTGGGCACCAAGCCTGGGGGATGTGGGCAGCACAGATGGAGACAGAAGACTGGCAGGATGGCCTGGGAATCTGGGAGCCTAGACACACATACACTCACATTCACAGTCATCTTGTCACTCACAGACTCTGACACCAACATAGGTTGACATAAACATTCACATACACTCCCTAACAGTGACTGGAGACACACACCCAAGACGATGAACAGACAGGTACTTAGTCACTCTGGGCCACTCCAAAGCCTACATATGCCCCCCAGACACACTGTGTGGTGTGCGCGTGCACAACCCCCCATCTCATGAGGAATGTGAACCTAGTGAGTGGGGTTCCTTAGGTCTGATGGTGAATATAGAAACGAGTGAGAGTGGCTGTTTTTCTGGTGCCATCCTGGCCCAGGCCTAATTATCCCATACAAGAGGGTAATTACTGCCGGGACACCTCCCTTAGCCAGGGCCCTGTGGGAGGAGGCCGAGCCCCAGGCCTGGCCCTTTGATGAGAGATGCTGGGGTAGGGTCCAATCTGACCTGGGAGGTCACAGGGCCTGGGGTGGGGGTTGGAGGGACTCTGAAGTTTTTTGAGGCAGAGATGGTGGGAGCTTAGGGAGTGGCACAGGAGGAGGAGGGACTGAGGACATGAGCCAGCCCCACTTTCAAGCCTGTACCCCACTTCTTAGGCCTCAACACTCTTCCCTCTCAGACCTTGTGGTAACTAACCCCTCTCCCAGCTCTGACCTCAGCTCTGCCTCCCAAGGAATGCAGGTGTGTACCCCTGGCAGGCCCTATTTTAGATATTTAAGAGACTTTTCCTGTTCTTTTTTTTTTTTTTTTTTTTTTAGCATTTCTGTTTCTTGGGGGAATATTTATCCCTTCTGTGAGGCATTCTGCCCCCAGCTTGCGTCCTGCCCCTGGGTGCCTTCTCTCAGAGCATCGCTCCTTCTGGAAGCCTGAGTCATCCAGGACTCCAGCATAGCCTCATACCTTAGCCTCCAACCCTAAGCCACAGCCTCAAAGTCCAGTCCTCATGCAGCCCCCCAACTCTAGCCCCCAAGACTCAGGCCTTCTGAGCCTCTGCCAAGGCCTTGCCTCCGACAACCCCAGATCTCTGCTCTCTGTACCCCAAACTCCCATCTCCTATGCCCAGGACTCCACTATGTGTCCCTCATGGTCCTGGAACCTGTCCTTCCCCGCTGTCCCCAGCTATGCCCCCTATCCCTCACCCACGCGGAAGCCGGAGCCCGTGAGAGTGTCGGTGCTGTGGCCGTTCTCTCCGATGAGCGTCATGTTGGAGCCCTGCTGACAACTGTCCCGACACTGGCCCTTAAGGCAGGTCCGCTTGCAGATCACTGGCGCAAAGACCACCTTGAAGCGCTCGCGGGCCAGCGCCCCGCCCCCGCCGGCGCCCCGCTCTCCGGCCGGTCCCCCCTCGGCCCCTCCGCCCGGGCCCAGCAGCAGCAGAAGCAGCGCCAGCAGCCCCGCCGCCCCCACCCAGCGCATCGCAGGGGCCAGGCCGCCAGCAGCCCCTCGGGGCCCGGGCATCCGGGGCCGCAGGACCCCGAGGGGCGCGCCTGGGCTGGGGGCTAAGGGCCCGGCGCCCGAGGGGGTAGAAAGCCGGGAGTCCCGGGAGAATGCAGGAGGGGGCAGCGAGGGCGTGGAGCGGAGGCGGCGGCTGGGAGGAGACAGCAGGCGCGGGAGGGGGCCGAGGGGAGCGAAGAGATGGAGGCTGGACCGCGGGGAGCCCAAAAACTTCTCAGCCCCAGGAAGAAGCCCCGCCAAGGCCCCGAACTTGGGCAGGAGCGAGGAGGCCGGAGCAAGTTGAAGCGGAGAGGAGGAGCGAGGGGAGAGGAAGGCCGGGCGGCCGGCCCGCTCCGCGCCTCCCCCTGGCCGGGCTCCACTCCCGCGGCCGCGGGGCAGCAGGGAGTGCGGGGAGTACGCAGTGAGAAGTGAGCAGTTGTTTTCCCTGGCTGCAGCGCGCCGGCGGCGAGGGGGGCTGGGACGCTGGCCCCGGGCCAGGGAGACAGTTTTTTTCGTTTAAAGCGTCGTCGCAGCCGCCCGGAGGAGCGAGAGTGTACGGGCGGGCGGAGGCTGGGGGGGCGGTCCCCACCCCAGATGCCCGCCCCCGGCCGGAACCCGCCGCTGCGCTGGGCCCTCTCCAGAGGGCCCTCACCTGGGACCGTCGGGCCGGCCTGCCAGATTCCTCCGGGTGGGGCAGGGAGGCCTGCTTAGACCTCCTGCCCTGCCCCATCGACGCGGGAAACCGAGGCTTGAAGGAAGACAGTGGGCCTTGCCCAGGGTCACGCTGAGCAGGGAGGGCGATGGCAGGCCTGCCACTTCTTCCCCAGTCTCCCCTGCACACGGGGCGGGGGGTCTCGCGGCCCCCACGTCACTTGTGGTATGTACTGATCCACACTACCCTCTGAGAAATGGACTCAAAGGAGGAGGCACCCTTTGACCAGGGGCTTAGGGAGGGTCCAGGAAAAAGCTCCCGGGGTCCAGAAAAGGAGCAGAAAGAACAAAGCTAGAAACCCAGCCTCCCCTGCCAACCCTTCCAAATGGCTTTCTGGTGCCCACTCTGCCACCTCCCCCCTCTCCCCTTGTCTGGCCTGGCTGGCCTGGCTGGCTCTGGGCCTCAGACATTCTGGAATCGCCAAGGTCTGAGCTCAGGGCCTGGCCCCCTTCCCAGGCTAACAGCCGGAAGAGGGGGGCGCTGCTTGAGGGCCCAGGGGCTAGGGAGGGGCATAGCAGGGCCCCAGGGCAGGAGTTGGTAGGGGCTTCGGAGGAGTCTGGGGTTTGGTGAAGACTGAAGAGGAGCCAGACTGTCCATCAGACTGGAAGGGAGACTGTGGTGTCTGGGACCCAGGCTGTACCTTGGGACCTGCCAGGAGACCCCAGGATTCAGTATCTAACTCATAGAACCTAGCAGAGGGGTGGGGTGACAAGGGTACATCTGAAGAAGAATGCTGCCAAGTTAGGGTGGCACCAAACCCACCTGGAGGGCACCAGGGGTGGCAGTCTGATTTGGCAGGGGGTCAGAGGGTGGGGTTGGGATTGGGTTCAGGGACTCACCTTTTGCACATCTGTCTTAAGGAACTCACAATTTTCATCGTGAGGGTGACTCTATTTTGGTAGCTTTGCAGGGACTGCAGGAGACTCTGTAGGGAACCTCTGCACAGTTTGCTCAGTGTGCCTGATCAGGCCCTATCAGTCCAGCTTGCCACAAGGCTGGGGGCAGGGATCAATCCCTGTGTCCAAGGGGCTCCCTGCTGCTGGAATCCAGGACAAGGTGTTAGGGGCAGCCCCCACCCTTACTCAGGGCTCACTCATCACACTGAGGCAGGGAATAATACCCAGTGCTTAACACCTACCAGGCGCTCATCTGAACCTGACCCTCCCCTACTTAGAGCCGATCATGGCTTGCCTTCCAAACACAGCACGGTCCAGGGTTGGAGTCCTAATCTTCCTTAGTTTTCTTGCCTGTGAAACGGGGATCTACTCATTCAACAAACTGAGAGCTTACCACATGCTAAGTTCTTGCCCACAAATAGACTCAATCTTTCCCTCCTGGAGCGTCTGTGCTAGGCGGAAATAGATGTGTGACAAATCAATTCACACATAACTGGCTACAGTAGACGTTGGTGTGACAGAGAAGGGCAGGGCACTGGGAGCAGGAGCAGGGGTGGGACGGGGTGGGGTGGGGGACAAAGGGACTTTTCCATTAGACGCTGGAGGATGAGCTGGAGTTAGCAGCAGGCATCTGACCTGAGGGATGCCTGCCAGAGGAGGCTCCAAAAAAGAGGTTGTTTTTACAAAGGGCTTGCAGGTTTGGGGGTGGGGGGGTGGATTGGGGAAGAACAGCCAAGTTAGGGGGAGGGTAGGCCATGGAGAGGAATTTGGCTTTTATTTTCATTGTAATGGCAAGAGGGGGTGCTACTGCCCTCATCCCAAGAGGGAGTATCACTTGGACTTGGTGGAGATGTATTTGGGAGGCAGAATCTAGGGACAGGTGAAGTGGAGGATACTTGAGAGGCAGATGACATGCATGGTCCATAGGTTTCTGGCCTTATCTCTGGGCAACTGAGGAAGAGGATAGGCAGAAGAGAGGGAAACACAGGGAAGTGAGTACCTACAGCTCTGTTTGGGACCTGCTGAGTTTGATACTTGTGAGTCATCAAAGTGGAGATGCCTGTACCCAAGGGTCTGGGGCTGGGATAGGACATTTGGACTGGAGACATAGGCTCAGGGTCCTCAGCATACAGGAGGCATTTAGAATGGTGGGAAAAGGTATCTTCCCATTTATCACAGGGAAGATAAATGGGCCCAGGGAGAAGAAGGAAGGCCACCCTTCCCAGGTCAGGGAGAGGAGGCATTCAGGCAAAAGACCTAAAAAGAGCAGATAGAAGGAGCAGAAAAGAAAGCCAGGAACATGGGGCAGTAAGAGCCAAAAGAAGTGTTTTAGGGCTGAGCCATGGCTCACACCTATAATCCCAGCATTGGGGAAGGCCAAGGAGGGTGGATTACCTGAGCTCAGGAGAGGAGCCTGAGCAAAAGCAAGACCCAGTCTCTAAAAATAAGTGGGAGCTGTGGTGGGCACATGTAGTCTCAGCTACGTGGGAGACCAAGGCAAGAGGATCACTTAAGCCCAAGAGATTGAGGTTACTGTGAGCTATGACACCACAGCACTCTGGCACTTTACTGAGGGCGACAAAGTGAGACTCTGTCTCAAAAACAAACAAACATGTTTTAGGAGGACGATGTGGTCAACAATGTCTAACAGTGTCTAAGGCTGCTGAGGGTAGCCCTCAGGGGCTGCTGAGGGGACTCAGTAACGAACCGTGAAAGTGCCTAACCCAGTAACAATGCTCAGCAAGTGTTGCCTGTTACTCTCACCAAATTCTTGAAGCTCTCAGGGCCTCAGCAGGAAATAGCTGAAACCATCTGGGCTAGAAACAGGGAAGCCCTGAGCATAACCAGGGAGGGCTGCCCCATAGGCTGTGGCCTTCAGCAGAGACCTTCATTACCTGTCCTGTCCCACAATCCCCATAGCCTGCAGAGGGGGAACAGGGGAAACAAATAATACCCCAGTCTCCTCTTGGCCAGAAGCTCCAGCAGGGCTTCCCAGGGGCTGAGCCTTGTTGGTTAGCCTCCTGGAATGCAGCAGGGAGGTGGAGAATACTGAGTGGTCTGCAAGGCAAGCTGAGGCAGTCTACTATGCAAGGTGTCCTTGGCCTGCACACCCCTTCTAGCCTCATTACCACACGTGGCACCTCATTTTCCTAGGATCTGCCAGCAAACTTTTATGCCTCCGAGATATATGTACTCCTATAAGTCCAAGGAGACCAAGACTGTTATGATCATTCCAGACTATTCCTGGCAGTAACAGTTCCTTCAACTGCTACTCTGCTTCCTCTGGTCCCTCCTTCCCTTGGTGCCAGAGTCACCTTTTAAAACCTAACTCGGGGCTCTGCGCCTATAGCTCAACCGGCTAGGGCGCCAGCCATGTACACCTAAGGTGGCGGGTTCGAATCCCCAGCCCAGACCCACCAAACAATAATGATGGCTGCAACCAAAAAATGGCTGGGCGTTGTGGCGGGCGCCTGTGGTCCCAGCTGCTTGGGAGGCGGAG